AAAAAACAAAAAACAAAAAAGAAATGCCCTCAGGGATCCCTCTGCACATCTGCTTAAGCTGAGGGGGTAGGTCCCAAGCCACACAGCACCAGCCAGAACGGGCCCCCAACTCGAGAAAAGAAAAAGAAAACAAACAATTGAAAACAAACAAAAAAAAAGCCCCAGGATCCCACCAGCGTGGCAGCACGGACCGGGAAGCAGTTCCACACTCTAATGGAGCTCCACAGCCCCTCAAGAAGAAGCAAAGATGGCGCACGGAGCCAGGTATTTGAGCAAAAGGATGGGGAGGTGGTGAGAGGTAAGGAAGAAATCAAAAGAAGCAGAAAAAACCAACACCCACAGCCAACAAATGGCACTCAGGGAGTTGGCCAGTGTGGGTGGGTGGAATCCAAGCAGCCAGTGCTTCCCAGCCAAGAGACTCTGGGCACAGGAAGCAGAGGAGGCCAAGTGGGGGTGAAGAAGGGTGGGGGGTGGGAAAACATATATCACTGTTTACCAGTTGTTCTGTCTCCTGCTGGAAGCTCCGTGAAGCTGCTTTCTTGTACCCCTTATTTGCTGGTCTCCGATAGGAGTCCAAGATGGTGGATCCATGCTGCATTAGCTGATAGGGGACCTCTCCAAGTATGTCGCCTTGCTCTCTGTTCTCTGTCAGTTTCTTATTCCATTTGGTGCTTGGCTGAGTTCTTTATCTCTTCATTTGATGTTTAGGATTTCAGGATTGCTGTTTTCTCTGTTTGGGTTAGTTTTTTGGATCTTTGCTGTGGAGGGACGGCATGGTGCTTCTGCCTAGAGCACCATGTTGCTAGAAGTCCAGGGCAAAAGGAATTCTTGACAGCAGTTATTGTGTCATTGAAAAGGCTGATCATAAGGTCTGGGGTGAACTGATAGAAGAGGAAATGATTAAGAGACTGGACAGTAGGAGGAGAAGGAAGAGTCCATAGAATTTAAGGAATGGGAGAGAAGGAAAAAAAGGTGATTATAAAGGGGAACTTCAGTTTGATATCTTAAAGGCAAAGCAGATTTGAGTGATGATTAATAAAGTATGACATTCCCAGTCGTAGCAGAGGGATTAGAGAATGAGGTCACTGGGGTTTCACCAAAGTAAGTTACCATGAGCCCCCAGCACCTAGTTTCATGCCTGGGGATAATTAAATAAATATGTGTGTAAGGTATTAATTTGATCATCAGCAAAGATGGCTGTAAATCCACCTTCAATGACCAGGGACCTAAAGAAGCAGAGAATATAACTGAATGAGATGCTTACATCTAAGGAGATGTCACCAGGAGTGGGCAGGTCACCAGGAAAAATAAGTCATAATGAGAAATGGGAAAATCTAGGACCGTTGAATGTCATGGTACTCAAAAGAAGGAAAAGAGTCAAGGAATAGTAACAGAAAAATACCAAGCTTCGAAGATAGAGAAAATGTGTGCTCCAGTTCCCTCTTTCCCTTTAGCACTGCATGGACGTATTACTAAACAATAAATTAATCAAAGGTAAAGAGACTTTTCAGTATTTTCAGCAGAAAGCAAAATTCCAAGATGTCCTACAAACAGGAGACTATTTTCCAAAACATTAAATGAAAGTAAACATCTTGCACCCAAACACCAGGAGAGGCTCCTCCACCATGGGGAGGAGCTCCTGGCAGAGCACAGAGTCATCAGACAGAGGGACCCTGGAGATTGGAGC